ACCAAGTTTCATCAAAATCCAATGAGTGGTTGTTTAGATATCAGTGGAACAGTCATGGAACCACTAAAAAATAGCTAATTATCATGCAAATTAGGTAATTAATATGCACGGATTTTTACCAAAAATTAATCAAATCTGCGCATATGTTCAGAGCATCTATGTACCAAGTTTCATCAAAATCCAATGAGTGGTTCTTTAGATATCAGTGGAACAGTCATAGAACAGCTAAAAATTAGCTAATTATCATGCAAATTAGGTAATTAACAAGCATGGATTTTTACCAAAACCTAATCAAATCTGCGCATTGGCCCAGAGCATCTATGCACCAAGTTTCATCAAAAACCGATGTATGGTTCTTGAGATAGCAGTGGAACAGTCGGACACACATACACACATACACACACACATACACACATACACACATACACACATACACACATACACACATACAGACGCACTAACTGCAAAGACTCCCATTTTGTGCTTCGCACATGGGAGTCAAAAATTAGAAGCTAGGGGTTATTCTTACCCAGCAGGCAATGTTATATTTTCCGGATGATGATATCCACAAAGATTCAACACAGCGTCCATTAATTGACATCTCTCCACTTTCAAGACTGAAAAATCTAAAATGAAAAATATTGACCTCAAAGGTGAGCAGAAGTAAAAGACCATTTGCAAATATTGAGCACCAAAAGGACGTAATTTGAATCAAAATAAGCATTTCAAAATATGCTAAATGTTATACATGTAGCTACATAACCTGAGCAGCGCAATACACAATCAAAAGTTGAACACAATTTGTTTCAAATTGTCAAATCTGAAGATTTAATTTCAAATTTCTAGGTTTTCAGACCTTATCAAGACATCTCAAAAGGATTCTCATTTTTTAGATTTTAAAAAGATTTTAAAAAGACAAAGTTTGGTTAAAATCATTTCAAGACATTTATCCCTTCAATGGCAACACTGTAACTGTTTTGCAGACTGTTATTTGAATAATCAAATGAAATATCATTCACAGTAGAAACCCATATGTTATTGTTATGGGTCACAATACTAACATTTTACAAGACTTAAAATATATAATAATGACTTTCTACATCATACCTGGAGTATACAATACTGCTGCTCTTTTTACAAGTTTGTCTGCCATATCTAATGCTTCAGCTGGAGTGAGAGGTAGATTCTTTGACAAACCAATCACCAACACCCTCATTAATGTATCTTCTTGTACCGGTACCTCAGCAGTTAATCTCAATAACAAACTGTAAGCAATCAATAAATAGAATTTTATTTAAAGACAGGCCATGTAAGGTTGCGTTAGACTATAAAAGTTATATTTACTGTGAATTATAACACACTTAGTCTGAATCTAGCCATCTGGTTAGCTGAAGCAAGTACTGAAAACCTGTGATCCTGCCCCTAAACT